TAATATAAACACTGCAACCTGAATTATACATATTAAGTCTCGTAACTTGCCTTTTGATCTTTTGCATGCACTGTATTTTCATGTTAGCACTTCCTTTTCTGTTGTTTTGTTTTTGTTTCTGTTTTTTTTTTTTTTTTTGGCCTCACCGCACGGCATGCAGGATCTTAGTTCCCGCACCAGGGTTCAAACCCATGCCCCCTGCATTGGGAGTGTGGAGTCTTAACCACTGGACCGTCAAGAAAGTCCCAGCACTTCCGTCTTTAAAGTAAAATTCACACTGCATTTATAGCGATTGAGTCAGGCACTGTTTCTCATTTTTTATTTCTTACATTATTAGTTTTTTCATTCTTGCGTTTTCACACTGACATCGGAGATTATTTATCAGGTAGAAACAGGTAAAGCCCTTTTGGAATTCAAGAACAGGGACGACATTTTGTTGACTAGTCCTTAGTTTTTTTTCTCTCACTTTTGCCCTTTCCCTCTCCTATTTGGTTAAACCTGTTTCCTGTTCAGAGAGGTAAGCTCTTCAAACAGGTATCACTAGGAACTGGAATACATAGGCTGGACTTCACATCTGGACACAGCTAACAGCCCGTTTAAGAGCAGCTCCACTGAATGCTCCATTATTTTTTAGAATTCTGGAGCTTCAAGGGACTTTGGTCGTATCTGAGACAGAAAGAAAGAAGCAGTCTGAGCAGGTTAAAGGAGTTGGTCAGGGTCATAGCTCAGCTAGTAGATTGCTGGACATCTCATCTATAGTTGACTGAGTGTATATACCGCTCAGTTTCCCAGAAGTGAAGCTCTGACCCAGACAGTGGTTGGTGCAGGTAGAAGTTCAAGACCCCTCTTCTCCCCCAAGGAACAATGAGAAGTCTTGAAGGAAAGGACTTAAGCAGAGGATGATATGATCAAATCTGCATTTTTAAAGGAGCCGTCTGTCCTCACTTGAGCACGATTCAGGGGTTGGGGGGAGATAGGGTAGACTGGAGAGGGGTTGGTATGTTGAGGTGCCATTGCAGATATCTAGCTTGCATTAGGGCAATGAGACTGGTGTAGAAAAACAGAGAGGTTGAAGGGATATGTAAGATAGCTATTGGTTGAGGGAAGAGAGGAGTCCTACGATGCCTTGATTTCTGCCTGGTAGAGCCCGTTAGATGGTGGTGCCAGTCTTCTGAGAGGTCCAGCCTGGGGGGTGGAAGGAAAAGCATGAATTGCGATTTAGACTCATTATGTTTAATAGTCTATTGTGAACAGTTAGTTGCTTACATGGAACCAGAATTGAGAGGAGAATCAGAGCTAAGGATCTGAGTTTAATAAGAGCCATGACTGCGATTGAGATTCCCTAGGGAAAG